GGCTTGTTGTAGCTTAACCGCGATCTCTGCTGCCTTCTGCTCATCCGAAAGCTGTTCGGCTAGTTTCCGCTGTTGCCTTTTATTGTCTAGCTCTAGCTGCAGCGGCTCCACTTCGTGCCCATGCTGTAAGAAGAACGGTGACATTCCAGTTAACGTTGCGTTTCTACCATTGATCGCAATCTGGGCCATTAGGCAGAGCTATGCCTAGTCATTCTGAGCCTAGTTCGTGAACGTTCGGATGTAGGTCTCCTAGACGCTGTTCATCCTTTCTGTTGCACCGTCCGTCTGTGGGTGGTAGGCTATCGATAGTCTTCGTTTGATCTTCAGAAGCTCGCATAGTCTTGTCTATAGTGCACTCACAAACTAGCTGCCTCTATTAGAGGTAATAGCGTCTAGTAGCTAGTGATATGCAACCACGCGCTTGATGAACTTTTGGACGACGGTTTCCGTCTTCGTATCTAGGAGCGGTACGAAGATCGCACCCTTGCTAAGCTAGTCAGTGACCACCATCAGGCTAGTCATGCCTTCGCTCTCTGGTAGTCCTTTAACGAAATCTATGGAGATCTCCTTCCAGATCTAAGTGGGTATCGGCAGTGGTTTTAGAAGGCCTTGCGTGCCCTCTCTCCAGGACTTGCTCCGTCCGCAGGTGTCACAGTTTCTAACGTATCTTTAGATCGAATTAGTCATGCCTGGCCAAAAGTAGTCCCTTGCGAGAATCTTGTACGTTAGCTCGCGTCCTGGGTGGCCAGTGACTAATGAGTCGTGTGCGCCGCTGATGATTGCCGTTCGCAATTCGTCGTTGTCTGGCACCCACTTGCGCCCTCGGTAAAACAGGACTCCGCCGTCCGCTGAGCAGTCTTCGATTGAGCACTTTAGGCCTAAGTTCGCAGGGAAACGTCGTTCTTGGTCCTCTACGGCCTTCTTCGCTCCCTAGTAGACCTAATTCTTCACTGTCGCTTCTTGCTAGAGCTTCTCCAACTCGTTCTGCTCCAACGCTTCTTCGTCTAGTTCTCTAGGAGGTAGTTGGCCTAGTTCTTCTTTAGCTAGGGCAACAGCCTCTTCTTCCCGCCGTTGGCTTCGTGTTTTCGTGGCCATTACTAAAATGGCTTCTTCTAGTTCCTCTTCTAGTTCTTCTTCTACTATCTCCTAATAGGAGTTTGTTGGCTTAAATATTTGCACGAAACGCTTCTGCAAGCGCTCGTCTTCTGCCCCTGCAGGCAGGTCTTGTTCTCTTCTCGAGAGCGCGTTGGCTCTCACATTCTACTTGCCTGGCCGATACAGCAGCTCTAGGTTGTACCTACCAAGTAGAAGCGACCATCTCACCTGGCGCTCGTTCAGCATGCGAGGTTTTATGAAGTACTCCAAGTTCTTGTGATCCGTAATCACCTTGAACTTCTTAACTAAACACAGCTTGGAATCCCATTCCTTAAGGCATCGTACTACCGCGAGCAACTCCTTGTTGTGGATCTCGTAGTTGCACTCGTGCGCGCTATTCTTCCGCGAGAAGAACGCGCAAGGCCGTAAGACTCCATCATCGTCGTACTGTGATAGCACCCCGCCCACCGCGTAGCCGCTCGAATCGCACTCGAGCACTGTCTCCCGATCTGGGTTGAACGCCGCTAGCGTGGGCTCTGTAACGAAGATCTCCTTTAGCTTCTCAAAGGCTGACTGCTCTTCAGATCCCCATCAGAAGGGGACGTCACCTGTAAGCCTAGTGAGGGGTGCGGCTAGCTGCGCGAAGTTCTTAATGAACCTTCGGTAGAAGTTCGCGAACCCTAGGAACGATCTTACTCCCTTTACTGTCTTTAGTGCCTCCCACTCGCGGATTGCGGCTACCTTGGCTAGATCCATGCTTATCCCTTTACCTGCTTTGATAATGAACCCAAGGTACTTAGTTGTCTTGACTTCAAACTCGCACTTCTTAATGTCCACCTGTAGCCCTGCGGCTTGCAGCTTGCTAAGCACTTTTCGGACGTGCTCTCGGTGCTGGCACAGATCGCCATCGGTGTAGATTAGTACGTCGTCCAGGTATGCTGAGTAGAAGTCATCTAGGTGTTCTCTCAAGGTCCAGTTAATGTATCGTTAAAAAGTACTTAGGGAGTTCGCCATGCTAAAGGGGGTAACTAGCCACTTAAACAGTCCGAATCTTGTTTGGAAGGCTGTCTTCCACTCATCGCCTAGTGCGACACGGATCTTGTGGAAGGCTGCGATAACGTCTAACTTTGTAAACTATTTAGCCTTGCTTAAGCTGTTAAGTGTCTCTCAGATGAGGGGTAGCGGGTACTAGT